AGAGAGAGAGAGAGAGAGAGAGAGAGAGAGAGAGAGAGAGAGAGAGAGAGAGAGAGAGAGAGAGAGAGAGAGAGAGAGAGAGAGAGAGAGTATCTATCCAAGCACTGAGAGAGAGAGAGAGAGTATCTACCCAAGCACTGATCCAAACATAGATCCAATCAACGAACTAAGCCCCGATCCAATTGCTGATGTTTGGGCACCGCTGGGCGCACCGATCCTAGTAGCAATTAAAGCGGCGACCCTTCCATACAACGAAACGATTGCTGAACAAATCACGGAACAAATTGCCAAAGCAAGCGCCCAGACAAAATGACCCCTCCATCTCCCAGGTGTTCGTTGCTTGTTTTCGTTTTTTCGTTTCTCTGTTCGTTGATTATCTGTATCCGTAGTTCCTCCTTTGTCGAAAATCCACTTCTCCGAAAAATCCACAGCGTACAGAAAGGATTGGGACTGGGACTGCAAATCGGGACTGTGAATTGGGACTGTGATTGGGAACCAAACCTTGGGACTGTGACTTGGGATTGTGGCTCATGGAACCGGGACTCAGATTTGGGATTGGGACATGGGACTGGGACATGGGACTGAGACTCCAGACTGTGATTTGGGACTGTGATTGGGGATTGATCTGAGACTGCGACTTGGGGCTGTGAATTGGGACTGCAACTTGGGACTGTGACTTGAGGCTTGTTGCTTGGTTACTAAACCCCAATTGCGCAGGTCGGTTGATGAGTTGATGTTGCTAGGTTACTAAACCCCAATTGTTGACCATTGTTATGCATGTTGCTTGGTGCTTCGTGTTGCTTCTCCAAGGTCTCGCTCTGCTTCTTTTCACACGGAGGTACTCATTGCTGCTGTTGTTCTTCGTAAGCGGTGAGTTATATGTGACTGGTCTGAACTACTCAGCTAATGGAATCAATGAGTCTAAACCTTGCCGTGATTTAGTGACTCTATTAATGAAACTTTTTGCAAACCAACTCACCCCATTCATTTGTCGCGGTCATGTCATTCCTCAAACGTCGATTTTGCGAATCTTTGTATGTCCATGACACGACTGTATCCAAATTTGTGTTAGTCTGCCACTCAATCAGTCTGTCCACCAGATAGGCAATGAGAAGGTCAACCAGTTTGTTAGCCGTTCGGTGGGCTTGTCAACCTTTTAGTCAACCTTGTAGTCAACATCTCCCTTCAGCAACCTTTCTGTCAACCTGGAAGAAAATGATTTTGACGCTCGTGTGCGTTGTTATGGATTTGTCTCGCGATGTATTGTAGTCGTATTAGCAGACTCCTTCTTTGGTTATGGAAGAAAATGATTTCGATTGTCTTTTTGGAACCTTGACTGCATCCCAGTTGGTTTCGTCCCGTTGTTCGGTTATTCGGGATGCGTAGCGGTGCTTTCATGTGGGACTAGTCATCGGGGTCGTCCTTTTTTTTTCGTATCCTCGTTAGTGTTTCCCGTTGTTCAGCTTAGGTTTGGGGGCGGTGTTTTTATGTGGGTTTCATCATCTGGGATTGTCTTTTATGTTTGTTGCAGTGGCTGCAATAGATTCATTTTCTTTTGCAGGTAAGGTGTTTCATTGCTTGCATATTATATCACACTGTGGATCGGAGCTTATCGTGTTTTCAATTGCATATCTGTTGGTGGTGTTGAAGGCTTTATCGTGTTTTCAATTGCATATCCGTCGGCGGTGTTGAAGGCTTTATCGTGTTTTCAATTGCATATCTGTCGGCGGTGTTGAAGGCTTTATCGTGTATTGAATCCTGGCTGGTTTGTCCAGTCATTTGGCCTGTGATGTGAGGGCGGTGCTTGCGTGCGGGACTTGTCATCCAGGATTTGTTTGCCCCCTGTTCTGTAAGATAAGCACTTGGTAGTGGGACCTCTGACTTGGGAAGGGCAGGGGATGTGAGACTCGTTGCTTAAACGTGGAATTTGGACTCAGAACTTGGACTGAGGACAGAGTTGGTGCAACCCATTTCCTTGCTTTTAAGGGAGATGGAGGGCCACATGACTGGTGTTTTCAGGGGAATACTGAGAGAGGGACATTCCAGGTCAACCTCATGTGTTTGCCTCATGTGTCTGCCATTCCAGGTCAACCTCATTTAGTAACCCTTCACTTGAGATCGCTCCATGGGAGGTTGCTTTCATTTTAGCAGGTTTCTGAAAAGTGGTTGCCTCAATTTATATTTTGTCCTTGGTTCGCCTACGTGTTGTGGCCATGCACACACTTGAACTTTACTCAATTTATATTTTGTCCTTGGTTCGCCTGCGTGTTGTGGGCATGCACACACCTGAACTCTGAGGTTGGACTGGACTGGACAGGACTCAGACCTCGGACTGTCGACTCTGAACTTCGAGTCTGAACTTGGATGCTGAACTTGGAGTCTGAACTTGCACTCTGAACTTGCACTCTGAACTTGGATTCTGGGCTTTGACTCTCACCATGGACTCTGAGCCTGGGATGGACTCTGAACTCAAACTTCTCCATATGGATTCTAAACCTAAACCTGAACTGTACTCGGGGCCTGGACTGGACTCTGAGTTTGGAAAGGAATGTGATGATGGATTAGACTCTCAGCTAGACTCTCAGCTTTGAGCTTGGACTGGATATCATATTTTCATATTTCTTTTTTTCCCTGTCTGGTGATTACTGATGTGTAATCTTCGATCTTGCTGTTAGCTGTCTGCTGCTGCTGCAACAACTTACCTCCCCTTCTGCTTCAGTGATTTCTTCCCTCACCATATGCTGGAACGTTCATGCGCCGAGAAGCCCGAATGCGGTCTCCATACTCTGTTTGGGATTTCTTATCTACGTACCCTTTTGTCGCCGATTTGCACAGCAGACCATAGCATTGCTTCTTGGGTACACAGCCTTTCGTCGCCGATTTGCACAACAAACTTTTCCATATATGGATCCTGGCTCCCGGGGAACAGCAAAGGGTGAGCAGGGGGACGTGAAGATGATCGATCGGGAGGGAGGGGGCGAAATCTGCCCCCCGGAAGGGAGGGGGGAGCAGAGAAGACCATCGAGATTGGAACAGCTGGAAAGGGAGCAGCGGGCGATCTTGGGAAGTAAGGAGGAAGGGAGGTGTCGGGAAGGGCTGGAAGGCGGGGGGGGAGGGTCGGGGGAAAGGAAATCTGGGCCACGAGGAGGCCAGCAGACAAAGGAAGAGGTGCTGAAGGGAGAGAGAGCGGAGCGAGAGGGGCCGCAGCAGAGAGGGGGGGGAGGAGAGGAGGGGATAAGACATGAGAAAGGGGAGGAGACGGGGGAAAGCAACAGGAGGGAGGTAAGTAGGGAGGGGGAGGAGGAGGGAACAGAGAAAGGGCGACATGAAGAAGGGAGGGAAGAGGAGGAGGCGGATAAACAGGGGCAGTCACCACGGGAAACCCTATTGATTGGAGGGATGAAACGGAGACCACAGGGAACGAAAAGACCAAGACTGAGACGAAAGAGCAGACAACGAGAGGGGAAGGTGGGGAATGGAAGAAAAGGGAAACAAGTGGTGATGTCCTCCTCCGAACACAGCCCGTCCCCGAAGAGGTGCAGAGAAGAGACGGAGAAGGGAGTGCTGCCATTACCCACGGAGGGGGAGCTGCAGGAGATTTTTGGGGAGAGCCGATCGATCTTAGGTGTACCAAGGAGACGAGGAACCAGGGAGAAGGGATCTCACCAGGGGTACAAAACGGGGAGATTTGAGGGAGAGGAGTCAACCGAACTACAGGAAATGGAGGAAAAGAGGGGGGGGAGCGGAACAGTGGAGGATGCAGCGGCTGGAGCGGCGGAGCCCACTGAGACAGATGAAAGATCGTTGGAATACCTGGGGGAAGACCCAGGGGGGGGGACAAAGGGGATGGAACAGGAAGCAGCGTGGGGATCAGGAGGGGAACCGGGTCAGGAGGGAACAGCCGAGTTGAAGAAGTGGGGGAGGGGTCGAGAAGAGATGCCAGGAGCGAGACGGGCTGTTGGGGAGGAGGGGGTGGCGAGAGGAACAGACTGGCGGGCACACACAATGACACCCCAGCAGGGGTGATGGACCAAGAGGTGCGAAGAGGGGGAAGAGAGCGATCAGCAACAGCCTCACAGAGGGATGCAGGCTCGACGGCGGGCCGGCGACAGTCAGATCAAGCAAGCCAGCAGCGATACCCGAACAGGCGCTCGAGAAGATCCAGAGTGTCGGTTAGTGTGACATCCGCGGGGGAGTCGGCGCGAAGAAATGGAGGAGCAAGGGGGAGAGGTCGTGGGTGAGGGGGGGAGGGGACGAGGATAGCCGGAGCAAGGGTTGTGGGCTCTCTGGGAGAAGAGAGAGGAGGGGGGGGGGGGGGAAATCACCGTCGTACCAGTTACAACTAGATAGCGAGAGGGTAGGGTAGATATGGTAGTGGAAAAGTCATTTAGGGTGGCTTCGGTGAACGTCGGCGGATTGAGGGAGAGATCAATTAGATGGAAGACTAGACAACTTAGACAAATTGTGGATAGGGAAAAAATACATGTATTATGTATACAGGAAACAAAGCTCAAAGAAGAGCGGGTGCGAGGGAGGGGAAGATTGGAGTTGGGACAGGGGTTTCAAGTATGGGCGCCGGCAGTGGGCACGATGAGGGGGGTGGCCATAGTGATGACCAAATTCTTTCGAGGGCAGGTGATTGACTACTTTCTGGACACAAGGACGATGGGCATTGGTTTGGATGGAGGTAGGGAGGGAAAGACTGCTGGTGTCCATGGTGTACGCCCCTCAGGAGACGACACAGAAAAAAATGGTTCTGGAGGGATCTCCCAATGAACGTCCCGGACACGCTGAATGCAATGATTGAATAAAATGATGATGGGGGACGTCAACACCGTGGTACAGCCGGGACTGGACTCCCCTCAGGCGGGACCACCGAGTCCGGATGCGGAAGCGCTGCGGTTGATGATGGCCGAGATGGCGATGGAGGACGCATTCCGGGAAACTTGGCCGGAGGAAAAAGGGTTCACATGGATAGGTTCGGGACCGGGAAGAAGAAGCAGGATGGATATGGCATGGGTGCAGCGGGACCTGCTGCACAAATTGCTCCGAGTGGTGGCACTGCCAGTGGCCATATCAGACCACAAGTTGCTGCTCACCGAATATCTGTTGCCGGCACTTGTGGAGACACGGGCACAGCCGCCAACGGCCATATTGGGACTGTGATTGGGAACCTTTACTTGGGACTGTGACTTGGGATTGTGGCTCAAGGAATAGGGAGTCAGACTTGGGATTGGGACATGGGACTGGGACATGGGACTGAGACTCCAGACTGTGATTTGGGACTGTGATTGGGGATTGATCTGAGATTGTGACTTGGGGCTGCGAATTGGGAATGCGACTTGGGACTGCGACTCGAGGCTGTGACTTGGGATTTTGACTCGGGACTTGGACCTGGGACTTGGACTTAGTTCTGGGATTTGGGTCGTTACTCGGGACTGTGACATGGGAATGTGACATTGGACTTCCATTCAGACTGCAACTTGGGACTGCAACTTGAGGCTTGGACTTGGGACTTTGACTCAGGACTGTTAATTGGGATTGGAAATTGGGACTGGAAATTTGGGGCTGGGACTTGGGACTTGGATATGGGACTTGGACTTTGGGTTGTTACTTGCGACTGTGACGTGTGACTGGAACATGGGATTGGGAAATAAGCTTGGGATTGGGGTTCCTGATTTCCGCGGCCGGAAAGGGCCATTTTCCTTTTTCTTTTTTTTTCTTTTTCTTTTTTATCATGTTGTAAATTCTTTCTGTCGTTCGTGATCTCGTTATTCCTACACTTTAATGCATCAATGAAAGTTCTTGTCTAAACTCGTTCTGAAATTCCGGTGATAGTAGTTTTCTCATTTGCAAATACTAAAACGGTTTTCACCTTTGCAGTAGCGAACGTAGATCCCAGGGCTTGATCCCTGGACCTATCTCACCCGTGTACAGTACCCCTGAGAGTCATCACCTTTTTTCCTTTAACTAAGAGATGCTATACATCATCTACCACGGAAGCTCCTGTGTGCTCAGAATCAAACTGCTTAAACCAGTTCATCGGCAATGCATCTGCAAGATAACTTGTCGCGAAGGATGCTACATCATTGCAAAAGGATGGACGCACTAGGAACCCCCTTCCCCATTAGAGTCCATCTAGTCAGTTCCACGTTAGTCGGCCACCGAGTAGGAAATATAGGCCAGATCAGAGGGAAGACTGCTTGAACCATACCAACAGCCCTAGATCACAGTTTGGGAGCACAAGTGAAATCACACACACACACACACACACACACACACACACACACACACACACACACACACACACACACACACACACACACACACACACACAGGGAGATTAGGTGGGCCTCAATGCAGCTTATGTCCCATTTTGCAAAGTATGTCCATTGGCCATTCACCGGAATTTTAACCCAGACTCCACACTGGGACTTGAGACAAGGGCCTAGGACTAGGACTTGGGACTGTGACTATGGACATGCATCCGTAACTTCGAACTTGGACTCAGGACTCTACTGTTGCACAATTGTTTTATCTGACAACTCTAGCTTCCATCATCGTCTTTGGTAGTCATGACTGGGATCCGCACTTGGACTACTGCTTCAACATCGGAACTGTGACTCCGCACTTAGAGTGGGGAATTCCACTCAGGACCGGGAATCACGGAACATGGGACTGGGGCTCCTGATAGGAACATATGCCACGGACTAAGCACGAGGGCTTGAGACTTCAGACTCGGACCTGAGAATTGAGATTGGAATAACTCTGACTCAGAAGAGGGATTGACTTTTAACCATAACTCTGAACTTGGACTTCAAACCTGTGACCTTTTTTTTTTTGTTTGTTTTCTTTTACATGTTTTTATGTGCACATCCTAGAATCTCATGTTATCGGAATTTCGACTCGGGACTTGGGATATGCAACTGTGAATGATGTGCGATACTTGGACTGGGAACTTCGAATATCCGGAGGGACTCGTCATTGGGACTCGAGAATTCAAATTGGGATTGGGACTCGGGGCTTGGAATGGGAACTTGGACTCAGGCGCAAGAATGAGGGAACATGGGACTAGAGTCGGGATTGGGATTCAGGATCGTCTGAGGAAAATGGGATTGGGACTTAGGACAGGGGCTCAGTTGCAGGGGGGAGTGACACCTGCGACTTCAGACTCTAGCTTGTAGTCAGTAGTTGGGCTTGTCACTTGTGCTGTGTCGTGACCCGCTGATGTTTTGACGGTGGCTCCTGCCACCTATTCGTGAATGGCTGCTGTGACCATTACACAGCGAGCAAGTCAATTGTTATTCGTGTTATGTGCCAACTGCGTCTATGAATGGCCGTTGTGACTTGTGACTTTGACTTGGGTCGGTCGAGACGAGGACTGCAAATTGGGATTGAGAAATTGGGGCTGGAACTTGGGACTTAGACTTTGGGTTGTGACTTGGGATTTTGACTTGGGACTGTGAATTGGGACTTCAAATTGGGACCTCAAATTGGGGCTGGGACTTGGGAATTGGACTTAGTTCTGGAATTTGGATTCTTACTTGGGACTGTGACATGGGACTTCAATTCAAATTCCTGTGAGTTTACGGAGTTGGGTCTGGGACCGGTCTGGGACTTAGCCGATGGGACTTAGGACTAAGACATGCGACTTGGTGCTGCAACTTCGGACTTGGGACTGTGCTTTACAGTTGAGAGTACTATCAGCAATTCTTGGCAGCCATATGTGGGACTTGGGATTACAGAGTCGGAATTTGGGACTCCGGACTGTTTCTGCGACTGCTGCGATTGGCACAGCATGTAAAAAGGAGACAGGAAGCTCGCATGACGTGACATTTCTTCGATTTTGTGCCACACATCTTACACTCCCACTCCGTGCTCTTTGCTCGCTTCCAATGTTCTCTGCTGCATACTCAGTCCTCTTCGCTGTGGTGTATTACGTGGTCGCCCTTTTTATTAAAAAAAGAAAAGAAAAGAAATGAGACCCTGCCCCCGGCCTTGGCTGCGCTGCCGCTCCTGGCGCCGTCTATCAGTATCTATTTCGTCGTCTCTTTGCATGCTCGTTGTTCGGGTCATCATTTTGTCATGAACGTGTTCTTCTTCGTTTTTTTCTTTATGTTCGTCTCCTTTTCGTATTCTTGTTATCCTGCTTTCCGCCTCTGTTGGAGGGCGATGATGGAGGAGGATTAGGAGGATGCCATCAGCGTCCTTGTTATCCTGCTTTCCGCCTCTGTCGTGCTCCGAGTGCTTATGACGTTGGGGCTGGTTGTACTTATCTTTTGTTTCCACTTTCTGCACCGACCTTGTGTCACCTTCCTGTTTGTGCTTATGTTGCCTTGTATCATTTCGACTTCGGGCTGGGACTCGGGATTCAAAACTGGAACATGTTGCCTTGTATCATGACTCGGACTTTGGGTTGGGACAGGGGATTTGGAATTGGGACTGGGACGTGCATTAGAACTAGGAACTTGCACTGAGGACAGGGAATCACTCTCTGGACTAAAGATTGAGACTCGGAATTGGAACTTGGGATTTGAACACGGGACTGGGACATGGAGTGGGACTTTGGACGGGGCATGGGACTGGTAGTTAAGACTGGGACCTGGTACATGGGACTAGGACGTGGGATTTCAGGATGGGGGACCTGGGACGTTGCTTGACATTGGAACTGGGAATCGGAACTTCGACTTGGGTCTGTGACTTTGGGAAAGGGTCTTCGGACATGTGTTTGGGACTGACTGAGGATTGAGACTGGAGACTCACAACGTTTTGACCCTGGACTGTGACTCCACTCACTACTGTGACTAGAAAAGACAGGGAATCAGGATTCAGCCTCAAGAACGGGAGTCGGGGTACCACCTTTTGAACATGAGGCCAGAACACAAAATAGTACCCTCTATCCGTTCACAAGACTTGGGGGAAGGGGACCCGGGACTTATTGCTCGTCCATGAACTGGGTGTCCGAAATTGGCCTAACAACCGAAAGGCTGCGTATTTGCTCCAAGCGCCTTGCATAAGCATGATCCTGTTTCATGACACATATGCACTACTCCATTCTCATTTGCAGATGCATCCTGTTCTTGTTGTTTTTTTCGTATGGTGGTTTTTAGCTTTGACTTTTTGTCGTTTGTTCGTTTGCAGTGATTCTTTCGCTTTTCTGCACCGCTGTTGCGGGCAGGAGGCAAGCATTGTTTGCAAGGTAAGACGTATGACAGTGTGTGATGGACCAGCGTTTTATTGTCTACTTCGTTTTCCTGGCTCGCATGCACGTTGTATATGCCATGCATCTCCTTCTATTTTTACACTCCCAAAAAAAATTATACAACCATAATCTTTTCCGTACGACCGAATCAATGATATGTAATGGTCATGCTATGCTATGCTTGGTCATGCTAAAGCTTGGTAGGAAAGTGCTTTGCTATGTTGTGCTTGGTCATGCTATTCTATATTGTGCTGTGCTGTGCGCTGCTGTCCTGCAATATGTATATCGTCGAACAGAGGTGCCCGGTAAACCGTACGCAG